GGGCATATACCAGGTTGTGCATAGCATGACAACAACAACAACAAAAAAAAAAAAAGAGGGAGGGGGCTACATTTGCTGATATTAAGTAGGCATAACAAATCACCTCATGGAATTAGTTATCTTGGTTTGGGGACTTAGGATCATGGTCTGTGGGACAATGCAGTCAATTGGCATAATATAATTCATAATGTTTATGTTCTACTTCCCAGTTGTGTCTGGGATCTTAAAATCTACAAGTGGCCACGGAAGATACAACTACTGGTCTCTATTAGTCTGGAACAAAAGAGAAAGAAGGAAACCCAAAAGAGTGAGAGAAGAAAATGGACTACAGGACTGTCTGCGTGAATTACTGCCTCCTTCACCTCGAGACCAGAACAACTAAATGGTGACTGGCTAACAACACTGAAATTTCTAATCAAGAACACAGTAAACGAATCCTCGTAAAAAGGGAGAAATATGTGGAAAAATGTGGACCCAGTGATGCTGGAGGAGTGCCTAAGACTATGACCCTGAGTTGCTCTTCAAATGTTGAACTGAAACTATCCCCTGAAGTCTATGCAAATGTGAGGTGCTTGTGGCTCACCAAGGGAATTGGACAGCTTGTTAACAATGTAAATAAGGGACATGGCACCCTTGTGGGGGTGGGACTGGCTCAAACATAACAATGACTGTCAGGATGGCACAGGACTGGGCAGTGTTTTGCTCTGTTGTACACAGGGTTGCTACGTTGGAAATGACATAATTGCACCTAACAATAACAACATTCACTGTATCATTATATCCCTTTTATAAGAGTATGAAGAAATCTCTCTCATTTCTCCCTCCTTCACTAAGGACACTTAGAGTTATTTATTTAGTTAGTTAGTTAGTTAAATTCCAAAGCAAATCTATATGACTTTAATACATGAATTTTGTAAACAAATTATTAATTTTTCTTCCAACACAATGTCAGTTATCCTACCTTCATTTTTTCACTTTGATTTCCTCACTTAAAAAAGAAAAAATTTAAAACAAGCATGTATTTTTAAGAGGCTTCTTCAAACACCATGGTAATAGGAACTTTTTAAATCTTAGATCAAATTTTCAGTCCTGTTAAAGTACAAAAAATAGGCAAGTACATCTGCAATGAACCTTAGGAAAAAGATCTTAATCTCAAAAACTTGAGGAACTTGTTTCCTATAAAGATACTCCTTTATCTAGGGTACACCTTCTATATTCTTTCTCTCATGCACCTTTCATGGGATTGGGCAGGGAAAAGCAGGCAGGTGTAAAGGAGAGCTGGAAATAAATGTTTGTAGAGAATATCTTTCTGAAAGCCTGAACACTCTATTACAGGCCAACCATCCTGGGAGCTGTTTGCCTTACACACCTCAAGTCCATTAATAGTGTAGACTACCAGAGCCATATGATATGACATGATCTTGGCTATTAGCCCTGTCAAATGAAAGTGGATAGACACCTGACCCAATTCAGATCAATTAAATGTGTTCTCCAATAGTGTGGAACTGAGACTGAGAAACAATGAGTCAAATCAGTTCCTTTGAAGACCAGAATTACTGGATAAATTTGGGAGAAGAAAAGTCATATTTTAGCTGCTACCTGCACTCTGGGGACAAATAGTCTGCAAATCAGAAGAATGAACTGTGTGCATATACAAAAACATATATAAAGCCCAGGCAAAAGTAAGAAATTAAGAGAAAGTTGAGATGGTCTTCAAATTCCAGGTTCTTGTGCCTTCCTAAGGCCTTGATACATTCCTACTCCTGGACTGCCAGAAGTTTTTATAGTAACTTTCACTTCCTTGTATAAGCTTGTTCATTTTACTTTTATTATCTATATCCCAAAATTCTTATACATTATAGTTCACTCTTTCCCCGTCCATATTCTTATTTTGTTAGAAAGTCAGGGTTAAATTACTTAGTTTCTAATTCTCTGCCAATTCCTAATCTAGGAATATGATTTCTTAGAATATAACTATCACAAACCAAACTCAACTGCCATTGAGTTGATTCCAACTCACAGTAACCCCCATTAGTTCCGAGACTGTAAATCTTTACAAAGTAGATTGCCTCATCTTCCTCCCATGGAGCAGCTGGTAGGTTTGAACCATAGACCTTGTGGTTAGCAGCCAAATACCCTACCCACTACGCCACCAGAGCTCCTTTCATAATCAGGTTAGAACTTACAAAACAACAAAACAGTTACTGTGAAGACAAAAGGCTGCTTAAATGAAAAAATTCTTAAAAATAAAACACAATCTTACTTCTAGATTTTCTTTTTTATATACTTCAATAGCTTTCTCTTCAGACAATCCACAGCAACCATATTCCAAAGGAGTAAACACTGTCGTTGGAACATTAATATAATCACACTGCAAGAAAACAAATTACATTCTTTTATTTTATGGCACTTTTTACAACAAAAAGCTACATTAAATACATTTAAGTAAATCTAGCTCAGTGTAACTGATTCTTACAACACCAAAAATTTCAGGGCAATTATGTTGTACTAACTGAGACCGGGGAAGAGCATCTGACTCAGAGCAGAATCTCCACACACTGGCCAGCAATCAACAATGGGATCAGCTCTCCCAGAGCTCAAATTCAGAAGTCTAAATACCAAAAGATAGAGGGGGAGGTGGTGCCCCCGGGCTGTCCCTAAAGACACTCTGAAGTAGGGTCTCTCTCTGTCCCTATGATTCTGGATGTCACTCTCCTGGAGCACTTCTTCTATCAGATGAGCTATAAATATTCTATTATAGCAAAAGCTGAGGCCACCACTGACTAGGCCATTTCATATTCCTTGTGCCACTGGAGAAGACAAGTAAATTATAAGCTCCACAGTGTTGGACTGAGTGGTTGTCTTTGACTGTCAAGGGGAAATGGCACATGTGTGAGGAAGACAGGGCCCAATACACCATGGGGGCCAGGATGAACATGGGTAATCATATATTTTTAACAGTTTTATTGAGATATAATTCACATATTACACAATTCACTCATAAGTGTACAATTCAATGTTTTTAGTCTACTCTAACATGTACAACATCACCACAGTCAATTTTAGAAGATTTTCATGACCTCAAAAAGAAATTCCATACTCTTTATCTATCACCCTCCTACGCTTCCACTCCACCCCATCCCTAAGCAACCACTAATCTATTTTCTGTCTCTATAGTGTTCCCTATGTGAGTATAGCTAATTTTAAAAGCCCCATGGTTCAGACAGAACCACCTTCAGAATCCTTATCAGACTAAAGAAGAGCATGGCTTGGCATCACCAGAAGATTGGAGACTCTGAAAATGACATGCAGTTTTTGCAGCAGCTCATGTGGTGGTATCTGTGGGAAAGAACTGCAACTACAGGCTGCATTCCTGTGATAATGTGGGTTAAAAGTCAGAATAACACATTGGTGAAGGCATTGTTAAAACTGTATGCATGGAAAGGAAACTGTAGAAAAAGGATGGAAGGTACAACTACAGATGACAGTCACTGCCCACAGTACTGTATGTTCCCCTCCAAGCCCTGTCAGACAGTTATAGGTGATGCAATCATGGATAGGCACCTAACCAAACAAAGCTAATATGTAAGCTGGCTAGAAATCTATGGAATGGCAGAAAAAGGTGAGCTTGGTCAATCAAATTCTTTATTTTGCAGAAAAATTAACTAGAAGGAAAGAAAGAATTCTCCAGATGGTAATGGGACAAGAAGAAACAGGCCTGCAGAATTGCAGCCAAGTTACGCTAGGAAGAGCATGTTGTAAACTTTTTCTATCTGCTGTTGCTGATGTCTCAGAGCAGCCTTGACCCCAAACCTAGCCCGAGTTCCAATTTCAGTGAGACCTGGTCCTATTATAGCTCTTGTTTGAAGTATTGTACAAGTCTACTTATTATTCTATGTGATTCTTATAACAAATTTCCTCAATTAGCCTAGTTTGAATGAGTTTCCAGTATTTGTTATTCAACAGCAAAGAAAAAAAATACAACCACCAGGGATCCCCAAATCAATGAAATGATTTGTGTACAACATTGAGTAGCTTCTCCATCAGTCTAGATCCTTTCATTTACATGCTTTTATACTATTTCAAGTTTATAGCCTAAAAAATCATGGGTAAGCCAAGTATTTATTTTCTTGTTTCTACCTTGGCTAAGGAAAATTACATGTGGAATGCCTTAAGACTTTCTGACTTCTCTTAAGCCCTGGAATGTTGCCTGCCAATCCTTTTATTGACTGGCAGCTGACCCATATTTCATGGCTTACAGTGGAGGCCTCTCATTCTTGACAGGTGACTTTGTCTCCTGCTTTATATCAATTAGGAAGAAGTGAAATGAAATTCCTCAATTTGTTCCTCTTTTTTTTTTTTTTTTTTATTAGGATTTGGGTGAAGATTTACAGAGTAAATTCACTTTTCATACAGCAGTTCACATATACTTTGTCTCATGTCATTGACCAAAATTTACAATGCAGCAGCTCCCCTCCCACTTCCTCCCCATAGTTACCTCCTCCCAGTGTCCATCCCTTCATACTCTTCGAGAGGCCCATTTTCTGCCAACCCTGTATATGATCTTGGATACACTCTCCATTTAGACATACATAATTGTTTAGCTTGTTCACCCATCTAATTTGTTCCTCTTTCACCTGAAATTATTTCTCCACATCTTATACTATCTCTTCCACTTGAGCTTAATTAATCCTCTCCTACCTGCTGCCTAGCTCAGTCCTGTAGTGATGGCTGCACAAGATGAATGTAATTACTGTCAGTGAATTGTACATGTAAAAATGTTGAAATGAGTCTCTTTATTCATACCTTACATATGTTACTGATTTCTAATTTCTCCTAACTATGGCCATTACTCACAAGGTTTTCATTCACTACCTTGTCAGCCACCTGGTTTAATGACATAAGCAGCATACATCTGTTATAGACAGTATCTGCCAAAAATGTTCAATCTGAGCCTAATCATCAGAAAACAATTTTTTGAATCTAGAATGTGGGACATTCAACAAGAAAATTAGCCTGGATTCATCTAAGAATCAATGTCATGAAAAATAAACCAACATATACATAAATAAAGCCAAGGAGAGCATCAGATTCAAAGATAATGAAGAATTGTAAGAGTAAAATGTCATGTGTGAACCAAAATACATATGTACATACACTTATAATGGACAATTGAGGAAATCTGAATATTAATGATTTTTTGCTGATTTTCTCAAATATGATAATGGAATTGTGCTTATGGTAATAAATTTCCTTGTTAGGAGATGCATGTGGGTAAACATTAGTGATGTTTGCCACTTCAAAAAGTCAGCAAAAAGCAAAAGATAAATACATGTACAAAAGATAAATATACACATTCAGAAAAAGAGAAAGAGATAAAAAAAAAAAATGGTCAGATGATAATAAGTGGGGAATCTGGATGAAAGTCATATTATGGGTGATTGTTTTATTATTCTTTAGCATTTCTGTGATTTCTTTCTAGATAAAAAGTTGTGGGACAATGAAATATTACTCAGCATAAAGAAAAATGAGCTCCTAAAACATCTTGGAACATATATGAACCTGGAGGACATTATGTTGACCAAAATAAGTTAGTTACAAAAAAACAAATATTGTACATTCTCATTTTTATGAAATCACATGAACAGATAACTACATAGAAACTAATGTTCATTAGTGGTTACCAGGGAAGGAAGGGAGAGGGAATTCACTGTCTATATAGTAAACACTTGTTATTTCTCGTGATGGAAAAGGTAACACAAAATGAGAGTAAAGTGTACACACCCTGACAAAGGTAACAATGTCACTAAAAATTATACAAGAAGAGATCTGCTGGTAATTTCTGTGGGCATATATAATTTTGAAACAACAGCAAAAACAACCAAAAAATATATGTGTGGGTATATATGTATGTAGGTAGGCATACGCGTATATAGGTATGTATATGAGTATATATGTGTGTGTATAAAGATATATGCATATGTATATGCATCTATGTCACTGTATGTATGTATATTCTATATATAGAATAAAGCACATAGGAGGCACAGTTAGAAATACTTCTTAGATATAACCAGACACCTCACAGGATTGGTTTTCTGGGTTTGAAGCCTTAGGACCACAGTTGAATGGAACATCTCAGTCAACTGGCATAATATAGTTCATAAAGTTATGCTCTACATACTAGTTTGATGAGTAGTGGCTGGGGTCTTAAAAACTTGCAAGCATCATCTAAGATACAACAATTGGCTTCTATTTGTCTGGAGCAAAAGAGAAAGAAGGAAACCAAAGATCCAAGAAGAAACTACATTTAGTCCTCACTTATCAACATGGTTAGGTTCCAAAGACCAGGTTGTTATGCAAAAATGGAGGATGACCACATCAGAACACAAAATGGAGGATGACTATATCATTACACACAAGTGTCAAATTACATCATTACATAACTGCCAAACCACAGAGAATCATGGCTAGGCCAAGTTGACACTTAACTTTAACCATTACAGCCAGTGTTATTGTTGCCTCACACCTTGGCATTCACTACTGCCAGAGGTACACTGTTAATGTGCAAGATAGTCTAATAGAATTTTTACTATTGTCATAAATGCAAAATATTGGATTATGAGATAATCGGTAAGTAAGGGGTAGGTGTAATCTATAGGACAAATAGTCTACACTGACTACAAACCTCATCTCCCCTGAGACCAGAAGAACTAGATGGTATCTGGCTACCTTTACCAACTGTTCTATTGTTGTTGTTATGTGTCACTGAGTCCGAGCCAACTCATAGCGACCCCTCCTTGGGTTTCTGAGGCAGTAGCACTACAGAAGTAGATTGCCCAACCTTCTTTCCAAGGAGTGGCTGGTGGGTTTGAACCGCTAGCCTTCTGGTTAGCAGTCAAGTACCTTAGCCACTATGCTACCAGAGCTCCCACCAACTGTTCTAATCAGGGCTATAATAGATGGATCCTGACAGAACAGAAGAACGAACATAAATTAAAATTCTTTAAAAGAATAAAACTTAAAAATAAAAAAACAGATTTACTGGACTAGTTAAGACTAGAGGACTCCCCAAGACAACAGCCCTGAGATACTCTTCAAACACTGAACTAAAAGTAATTGCTGAGGTCATCTTATAGCTAAGTAACAAGCTGGCTTACAAAATAATGAGTATCACCTATAAGTAAGTACTGTGCTCCTGTTAAAAAATCATCTATGCCAAACAATAAACAAACAATTTAAAGATAAAAATGTAAGAGGGCAGAGAAACTAGATTAATGGAAATGGAACAACCAGAATGGAAATAATGAGAATGTTCACATGTTGTAAAGAATGTAACCAATGTCACTGAACAATCTGTACAGAAATTGTTGAATGGAAACCTAAACTGCTGTGGAAATCATCACCTGAAACATAATATTATTAAAAAAAAAAAAAAAGTTGGGGGAAATAACAGTCTTCAACAGTTCACCACTGTTTACAGAAGGTCATACCAATTTATTGTGACATCAAAGATTTCTGGTGATCTGGCACCAAATTAATTTTCCAACTTGATTCTCAATTGTTTTCTCTATTACTCTGCCTACATAAACACAGTGTTATTTGCATTTTGGATAGGATAATTGGATAGGAAGGATAATTCTTTTTTGTATATAACAGTACATTTAGCATTCCAGGTCCCCAGAGACTAAATGCCAGTAAGGCCACCTCTCTGTTGGCCCTTCACCTGCCACTGCCTCCACATATCCAAAAAGGGTCCTGATGCAGAGAGCAGTACTTCTCCCAGTCGAGAACAAGATTGCTCATGACCTCAGAAACTAAGTAGTTCCAATTTCTGTGCTTTTACTTAAGTTATCTTCTTACTTGAAAACATATTTCCTTCCTCAATTTTGAATCACTCATCATTAAAGCCTATCCCAAAGATAAGATCAAAGAATACCAAAGGTGGAAGAGACTAGAAATCATCTGATTCACACTATTAGTTTTGCAGATGATGAAACTGAGATCCAGAGGAGTTAAATGACTGGATCAACTTTCCACACTAAGTAGGCACTCAAGTCAGGGCTTGAGCCCAGGTGTCCTGATCCATGCTGAGGGCTCTTCTACTATAGTGACTTATAAAGACTTTTCTTAGCTCTTCAATTAGAATCAATTACTCCTACTTTGTACCCTACAGCAATTTGCTTATAGCACTATTAGGCACATCATGATATTCTGTATAATTTATTCTGTGCATGACTGACTCATGACCCCCTTTAACCTGTTAAGCCCTCTGAAGCTGGAATCATGGCCAATCCTTTGTACATCAGTCAGCAGAACATATTACACATGGCAGATATTTAAAAAAAATTATTAAATTCCATTAGTAAATAGTAAGTCAACTGCAAATTCTATCTGTGTAGAACTCTTTACTTGGAAAACTAGCACAAAAGTTTTATTTGTGCTGATTTTTAAAATAATTTTCATCTAAATATATTCCCAAAAACAACAGTAAGAAACTTACCTTTTCTAAACGGCCTCCAAAAAGTCTTCGAGCTAACAGCTTGCCTGCCTGTATGGCTACAGGAGTGAGCTCTGGTTTACCCTCCAAAATGTCCCCAATAGCATAGACATAGGGCACATTGGTTTGTTCCACATCATTTACTGGTATTTTGCCACTCCTATTAGTTTGTGAAAAGGAAATAAATATATTACAGCTAACTCTATACTGCTGGATGACTAATACTATTCAAAGAGAAAAAGAACTCCCCTAAATATTCAATTGTCTGTAAGATCAATGATTTAAAATAACAAGGATTTCAGTAGCCATGGAAGAGAGTGTCTTTCTGACTGGTGGAAATCATGCACATTTTTTGGATACCTAGGATTTCTCCAGACTTTCCCCACAGTCACATTTTGTTGTTGTTGTTGTTGTTGTTATATGCCATCGAGTCGGCCCCGACTCATAGCGACCCCTCCTTGGGTTTCCGAGGCAGTATCACTACGGAAGTAGGATTGCCCAACCTTCCTTCCGAGGAGTGGCTGGTGGGTTTGAACCGCCAGCCTTCTGGTTAGCAGTCAAGTGCCTTAGACACTATGCTACACAGTCACATTTAGAGCTTTGGAATTCTTCTTTTCTCATTAAGGACTTAAAACTTTACTGTAAATTACAGACAGCAGACAAATATATTCCCATAACTATTATAATCACTATTTAATGCATGAGCTCTTTAAGGCATGCAATAAAGAATTACTGATTGATTGATGAGAAAACTGATAATACAGGCTAACACAGTATTTATTGAAAGATCAATCTGCTGCTTTTAGCAGCTGCTTCTGCTGTTAGGTGCCACTGAGTCAGTCTCTAACTCATAATGACCCCTTGCACAATGGGACAAAACACTGCCTAGTCCTGTTCCATCCCATTAATGAATGGGTTGCAGATAGGGCCATTGTGATTCAAAGAGTTTTCATTGGCTGATTTTCAGAAGTAGACTGCCAAGCCTTTCTTCCTAGTCCATCTTAGTCTGGAAGCTCCACTGAAACCTGTTCAGCACCACAAAAGCATGGAAGCTTTCACTGACAGACAAGTGGTAGTTGCTCATGAGGTGTATTAGCCAAGAATCAAACTCAGGTCTCCTGCATGGAAGGCAAGAATTCTACCACTGAGCTACCACTGTCCCCAAGATAAATTTAAAGCATTAACATTTTTACATCTTAGTAATTAAATGAGAATTTCAAAGTGGACTATGTTGTAAATTTTGGTTTATATAGTACAATTAGCCCATATATACTTACTTCTCATTGATTTTCACACCTATCTTCTCCAAGCCAATTTTTCTTGTACAGGAGTCACGACCAATTGCTAACAAAACCTGTATTCACAGATTGCAAAAACACACAAACTATCACTATTAGGAGGAACAGTGAGAACATAGATCCTATTGACATTAAAAGGATAAAAATGGAATACGGTGAACAACTTATGCTAATAAATTTGATAACTTACATAAATAAGTTAATTGTAAAAGACAATTTTTCAAATTCTGAATAATTTCAAAATCTGAATAATTCTCTATCCATTCTATATTCACAATTTGGAGTCCTGGGTGGTACAAACAGTTAACCCACTTGGCTGCTAACTGAAAGACTGGCAGTTCAACTCCACTCAGAGGTGCCTCGGAAGAAAGGCCTGATGGTCTATCTGCAAAAAATCAGTCACTGAAAACCCTATGGAGCATGGTTCTAATATGACACACTTGGAGTCATCATAAGTTAGAGTTCACTCAACAGCATCTGGTTTTATTCACTATTTGTAAACCTCTCATAAATTAACTCCAGACCCACATGGCTTCAGTGGGAAAGTCTATTGAACAGTTAAGAAAGAAATAATATTAATGCTACACAAATTGTTCTAGAAAAAACAATAAGAAGGAACACTTTCCAACTCCTTTTGTAAGGCCAACATACCCTGATATTAAAATCAGACAAGGACATTAACAAAAAAAAAAAAAAAAGACTAATATTCCTCATCAACACATATGTTACAATCCTTAACAAATGTTAGTAAATCACGTACAAACCGCCCCCCCCAAAAAAATCAAACTCAGTATAACAATACATAGAAATGATAATTCATTATGACCAACTGGGATTTGTATTAAAAATGCAAAGATGGCTTAACACACAAAAATGAATCAATGTAATTCATATAATGACAAAAAACATAAAATTTCTATTGAAATATTGCAAAAAAATATTGCAAAAAAACCACTCAACAAAATTCAAAATCTATTCATGATTTAAAAAAAAAAAAACCCTCAGCATGCTAGAAATAAAACTTCCTCAACCCAATAAGGAGCACCCATAAAATCTTCAGTTCACGTCATAGCAATGGTGAAAGACTAAATGCTTCACTACTAAGACTGAGAGCTAGACAAGGATCCTGCCCCACTCTCAGTTTCTAATGAGCATTGCACTGGAGGTCTTAACCAATGCAACAAGGTAAGAAAACAAAATAAAAAGCCTGTAGACTGAAAGGAAGAAGCAAGACTTTTTATTTGCAGACAAAATTTTATACATAAAAATTGTGAGAAGTTACTAGAACTAGTAAATGGATTTAACAAGTCTGCAGAACACAAAGTCAATATACAAAACTTATTTCTATTTCTAAGTAGAACTTAAAATTTAAAAAGCTATCACTTAAAATAACACACACAAAAAAAATCCTTACAGATAAATTTAACAAGATGTGTAAAGGACTTCTACAATGAAATGATAAAACATTGCTGAGAAATCGAAGAAAACTTAAATAAATGGAAAGCTATATGATGTTTATGTATTGGAAATATTAATACTGTTAAGATGTCAGTTCTTCCAAATTGATCTATATAGTCAATATAATCCCAATCAAATCCCCAGCAAGCTTTCTGTAGAAACTGATGAACTGCTTTTAAAATTTACATGGAAATGCAAAGGACATAAATAAACTGGAGAACTTATTCTACCTGATCTAGAACATACTACAAAGCTCACTTATCTCAATAATGTGATATAGGTGAAAGGACAGACAGTGAATAGGACAGAACAAAGAGTGCAAAAATAGACTCACAGCTGTTTAACCACTGTCAAATGATTTCAACAAAAGCACTAAAAGAATTCAGTGAAGAAAGTGAAGTCTTATCAACAAATGGTGCTGGATATCCATATGTAAATAAAAGAAACTCAATTCCTACCTCATACTATACTCAAAAATTAATGCAAGATGGACTTCAGACCTAAATATAAAAGATAAAAATTTAAAGCTTCATGAAGAAAACAAAGAATATCTTCATGACCTTTGGCAAGCAAAGATTTCTTAGAACACAAAGAAAGCATTAATCATACAAGAAAATATTAATAAATGGAATGGTATGAAAATTTAAAAACTACTGTTCATCAAAAAAGAGTTCTGGTGGTGTAGTGGTGAAGGCATTTATTTGGCTTCCTACCAAAAGGTCAGTGGTTTGAACCTACCAGCCACTCCGCAGAAGAAAAATGAGGCAGTCTTCTCCTTGAAAACCCAATGGGGGTCACTCAGTCAGAAATGACTTGATAGCAGTGAGTTTGGTTCACGAAAACAAGACATTAAAAAATAAACAGGCATATCACAGATGGAAGAAAATAGTCACAATATATATATCTGACAAAGGACTTAACTCCTGCAATTCAAGAATAAAACCTGAAGGAACACTAAATAAATAAATAAGCCACAGTCTTGAACAGACATTTCCTAAGGAAAGATGAATAAATGACCAAAAAGCACATGAAAATTGATCAACATCATTAGTTATCAGGAAAATGTAAATTAAAACCATAATAAGATACTAAACACATCCACTAGAATGGCTGGGATGAAAAAGCATAACAACCCCAAATGCTGGTAGGATACAAAACCATAAGAGACATCAGACATGACTGATAGAAGTATACAATGATATAGTCAAAAAGTTAAATATACATACTATCCTATTATAAAGTAATTTCACTCCTAAGTATTTATCAAAGAGAAATTAAAATATGCATTCACATAAAGTCTAACACAAGAAATCTTCAAAGCAGTTTCAATCATAATAGTCCAAACTGAAACCGACCTTAGTAAGCATTTACAGGCAAATGGACAAACAATGTGGGATACTACTCAGCAATAAAAAGAACTAACTACTGACATGTACAGCTATATGGATTTATCTTAAAAACAATGTTCTGAATAAAATAAGCCAGATACCAAGGAATGAATACTGTATGCTTCCATTTATACAACATCTAGAATATGTTCTTATCCAGATAGGCAAAAATTGAATGATGCAGAAAACATCAAAAGCCTGCCATCCTACCTTTGGGCCTTAGATTTGTTAACCTCCAAAGCCAGTAGCCTGCTTTATTGCCTGCCGACCACGGGTTCACCAACTCCTGCAGCAATGTGAGTCAGGAGAAGCCCGAAGATTGATGTCTGACACGCAGACTTGGAACTTGCTGGCCTCTACAACTCCATTAGCCATTGCCTTGAGATAATTTCTTTCTCTCTCTCTCTTCATGTGTGTGTGTGTGTGTGTGTGTGTGTGTGTATGCACACGTATATATACACATACATGCACAAGCTTCACTTGTTTTGCTTCTCTATAGAATACAGCCAAAGGTATTTGGTACTTAGAGTGGTTCTAGAGAAATAAAATCATAAGGATGATTCTTCTAAGTTGTTTCTCAAGTATGATTAATCTTAAAGGCGCCAATGACTCTGCTTCCTTTAGTAATGAGGGCCCTGCTAATCCATAGAGAGAGGTGGAAATATTAATACACAACATAGCACCACCAATATATCAAGGATAGGTGGGAAGTGAGGCTTTGGGTGAGCGAATGTTTGATACTTTTCTGCAATTCTGTCAGAATAAGAAGTATAAGGAAGTAGATGATTTATCCTACTTCTGAAAGACAAACTGGTAAAAGACCGAGATGAGTTCACAGCTTCAGAGTCATAGCTCAAGCACTATATAGAAAATCTCAATGTCTCCACTTGTGCCCTGAAAGAAAGCCTTATTTCTCGTAAGACAGTTGATGTTGCCAAAAACCAACCAGAACCTTAACATAAGAGTTAGTGAGTTATAACACCAATTGAATTTCCAACCTCAAATGGCTTCTGAAGTTAACGTGAGGGCACTGATTAGGAAGAAATGGAATCCTGAAACTTGGAATACCCATCTGTGCCTAATGTGTCATTGTCTGAGATATCACCTAGGGCACAGCCTGAGGCATGTGCCTTACAAGACATTGCTGAATGTTCCCAGGAACCACTCCCACCACCCACTGTTACTTCTAGACCTGTAACTAGACAAATTGAGGGGTGCCCCAAAAGGTAAATTATAAATTGTGACCCAGTACTTTACACTCCAGAACAACTACTTGATTTTTCTAATATGTACAAATAGAAACCTAGAGAATATATATGGACATAGCTATTAAGCAAGGGATAATGGTGCAAGAAACATAAAGTTGAATCAATCTGAGTTTACTGATTTGGGTTCACTAAGCACAGATTCTTCCATCAATGTTTCAGCTTGACAGGTTAGGAAAGGATCTAACAGTTTATTTGGTTGGTTTACTGAAGCATGGATTATGCAGTGGCCTTATTAAGTTAAGGTGAAGTACTAGACCTGCCTCAGTATACTGTAGAAGAAGGTATCCAAAGACTTAGGGAAATTGGCATAGTAGAGTGGATTTATCAGATTGTTAGGGTAGATTTATCAGATTAAACTCACAGACCCACACATACAGCGAGCACACAGAGGACACACCTTTTACCACAATGGTGAGGAACAAATCTGTGAAAAGAGCCCCAGCATTCTTTAAGACTGCTGTGATTGCTATTTTATATAAGCCAGATTTGACAGTGGGAACTGCTCTAATTGAATTGAGACACCTAACTACAACAGGGCTGATTGGACCCTATGGTGGCAGGGGCCAAATGGCAGCATTTAATAGACAAAAACAAGGTGAGTATGGTCACCATAATGGACAGAAGAGTAAAAGCAGTAACCAGAATCATCTGACTTATACCGACTTATGGCATTAGCTGCTTAGGCTTTGTGTCCCTAGGGGTGAAATAAAAGGAAATCTACCAAGCATTTACTTGATGTGTACAAGAGGAAGAATTCTAGGTCAAGTGAACAGCAGTCTAATTCAAATTGTCAGAATACAGAATCATGGCACCTCAGTCAATTCCCAGACTTGAGACAGTTTATAGACGCACAACCCTTGAATGAAGAGGAAGTCAGGTCCTCCTGAGGAAGGACCTACTATACTGCCAAAAATTATACTGTTGATCTTTCTCCCAGCTTTCCCCAAAGGGATGTATGGCTTTTATGTGAGTGACTGTTCATTGGGGAAAAAGAAATAATCAGATTTTTGGGGGGATTACTGGACACTGGCTCTGAGTTGACACTAATTCCAGGAGACCCAAAGTGTCACTGTGACCCATTAGTCTGTGAGGGCATATGGTGGTGAAGTTGTTAATGAAATCTTGGCTCAGGTCCATCTCACAGTGGGTACAGTGGGTCCCAAATCCATCTAGTAGTGATTTCCCCAGTTCAGAATGTATAATTGGAATAGACATACTCAGCAACTGGCAGAACCCCATAATAGATTCCTGACATGTAGCATAAGGGCTACTATGGTAGGAAAAGCCAAGTGGAAGCCATAAGAACTTACCTAGGAAAGTAGTAAACCAAAAGTAATACTGCATTCCTAGAGGAATGGCACAGATTACTGCCACCATCAAGGACTTGAAAGATGCAAGGGTGGTGATTACCACCCCACTCCCATTTAACCTGCCTATTTGGCCTATGTAAAAAAATGGTTCTATCTTGGAGAACGACAGTGGGTTATGGTAAACTTAACCTGGATAAGGTAGTGACTCCAATTGCAACTGCTGTTTCTGATGTGGTTTCATTGCTTGAGCAAATTAATATATCTCCTGGTACTGGTTCACAACTACTGATCTGGCCAATGCCTTTTTCTCAATTCTGGTTTCAAAGGATCACCAGAAACAGTTTACCTTTAGCTAGCAAACAGTCCCATCTCCAGGGTATATCATTTCTTCAACACTATTTAAGCTAGCTCATAACATAATTTAGTCCACAGGGACCTTGGTCACCTTTCCCTTCCATAAGACATCACACTGGTCAATTACATTGATGACACTATGCTGATTGGACCTAGTAAAGAAGAAGTATCAAAGACTCTAGGCTTATCAGTAAGATACTTGTGTGCTAAAGGGTGGGAAATTAACCCATCAAAAATTCAGGTGCCTTCCACCTCAGTGAAATTTCTAGGGGTCCAGTGGTATGTGGCATGTCGAGATATTCCTACTATAGTGAAGGATAAGTTACTGCATCTGGGATCTCCCACAATTAAAAAGGAGATGCAGTACTTGGTGGCCATCATTGGATTTTGGAGGCAACCTATCCCTCATTTTGGCGTGCTTTGGCCTATTTATCAAGTGACTTGAAAAGCTGCTAGTTTTGAATGGGGCCCAGAATAAGAAAAGGCTCTGCAACATGTTCAGGCTGCTATGCAAGTCACTCTACATCTTGGGCCATATGACCTGCTGATCCAATGGTGCTTAAAGTGTCCATGGCAGATAAGAGATGCTGTATGGAGTCTTTGGCAGGCCCCCACTGATGAATCATAGTGAAAATTCATAGGATTTTGGAGCGAAACCCTACTGTCCTCTGCAGATAACTACTCTCCTTTTTAGAAACAGCTTTTGGCTTGTTACTGGGCCTTGGCAGAGAATGAGCACCTAACTACAGACCACGAAGTCACCATGTGGCCTGAGCTGTCCATCATGAAATGGGTGCTGTCATGCTGTGCAAAGTAGAGGGTCAGTGAAAAAGAGGAAGACCCTCGACAAGACAGATTTACAAAGTGGCTGTGACGATGGGCTTAAGCATGGCAACGACCGTGAGGATGGCATAGTACTAGGCAGTATTCTCTACACAGGATCGCCATGGGTCTAAATCAACTCAACAATACCTAACGACAACCAAAAAACAAGACTTACTTATCTACTGAGACTGGGGGAACCCCTAAATCTATTGCCCAGAGATAATCTTTAAACTTTGACTGAAACTATCCCATGAAGTTATCGTCAAACTAAACAACAGTGTAGCTCAATTAATAAAGAATGTTTGCTTTGAGCACTGTGCTCTTATAAAGAAGATGAGTTTAAACTGACAATAGTTAATCTAGAGCTCATATGGGAATTTTAAGGGGCAGAGAGTTTAAATTAATGGTGATGAAAGGAGATGCAATGTGAAGTATATAAACAATGTCATTGAACTGCACATATAGAAATTGTGAACTAATATATATTTGGTTATATATATTGCCACCAAAATTAAGTAATTTTTTTTTTAAAGAGTACCTACCAAAACCCTACAGAAAACACTACTGTTTAATGATGAAACAATGAAAACTCGTCTTTTAAAATAGAGTACAAGACAAAAATGTTTATTATTGCAATTTCTAGGAGCTCTGGTAGCATAGTGCCTGAGGCACTTGACTGCTAACCAGAAGGCTGGTGGTTCAAACCCAAAAGCCATTCCTCAGAAGGAAGGTTGGGCAATCTACTTCTGTAGTGATACTGCCTCAGCAACCCAAGGAGGGGTCGCTATGAGTCGGGTCTGACTTGACGGCACATAACAACAACAACATTGCCATTTCTACTCAATACTGTACTGGAAGTCCTAGCTAGTGTCCTTACACAAGAAAAAGAAATAAAGAGAAAAACAGTAAGAAATGGAACTATTATTCACAGATAATATGCATACATAGAAAATGTAAATTAGTCTGAGGATATTAAATAAAAGCTTAGCAAGATTTAAAAAAACCCAAAACCATTGTCATCAAGTCAATTCTACCTCATAGAGACCTCATAGGACAGGGCAGAACTGCCCTATAAAGTTTCCAAGCCTGTAAATCTTTACAGAAGCAGACTGCCATATCTTTTTTCTGTGGAGCAGCTGGTGGATTTGAACTGCCAACCTTTTGGTTAGCTGCCAAACACTTAATGCTGCATCACTAGAGTTCCTTTTAATGAGATTACTGAACACTACATCAATACCAGAATACGCAGTGATTTGTTCTGTTGTATATAGGGTCACTACGAGTCAGCCGATTCGACAGCACCTAACAACAACACATCAACAGACAAATATCAATAGGTTTTCTATATGCTAGCAACAAACAGTTAAAAGATAATGACGCTTTCATGGTGAAGGAATATTTGGAAAAAGATAGCGATAATGGTGGCACAACATGAAAAATGTCATCAGTGTCCCTGAGCTGTAAATGTGGAAGTTGTTATGTTGGTGAATGTCTTGGTGTTATGGTTTCACAACAATAAAAGTAAAAAAAAAAAAAAAAGATAATGACCCTTTTAATAAATGTCATTTATAACCACATAAAAATACACAAAAGACCTAGGAATAAATCTAGCAGATATTCTTGACCCCTCTAGAGAAATGTATTAACTTTGTTGAGAATCATTAAGACCATCTAAATTAACAGAGAGATATACCATGTTAAAAGGTCTGAAGGCTGGATATTACAAAGAAGTCAATTATTTCCAACTGATCTATATAGCCAATGCAATTCCAATCAAAATCTCAACATGGTTGACTTTAGTTTTAGTTTTGTTTTAGTTATGCTGATCCTCTCTTCACTACATTTACTTTTTTAACTATGAAAATAATCATATATATAAGAGATTATATAAAGTAAAAATGTCAGTTTACATGTAAGTTACAAATTAGAGTTTACAAAATAATTTTTGGCATCCAAATATCATCAGTTCAAAAAATTGTTGCCATCCAAAGTATCCCATGAACTATTCATGTTGTTTGGAGGATTTTATACTGTTTGTTTTAAAAAATGAAATTATCTTTATTGTGGTTTTTTATTATAAAAGCTATTCAATGTATACTGCAAAAAATATCCAAATGCAGAAAGGTATAAAACATCTAATTTCCCAGAAGAAAGCACTAATGATAGTTGTGTGTATATGCTTCCAGATTCAGTGTGTAGCTACATACACACATATTTTACCATGTATTTTATCATGTATTGCTAAAAACTGTCAAATGTGAGTAGCCCAACTATCTTCACATTTATTATATTCTTAGAAAAAAAAATTTAAAAAACTTAAGTTTGACAGAATTTTTATAAGCTTCATCTATGCTAATTTATGAGTGTTTCAACCACTTATTACTTATAAAATAAAAACTTACTGTGTTATATATTTCTTCAATAGTTTCTGGTCCTTCAGTGGATTTAGCCACTACTTTCAGCTTTCCGGGTGAACCTTTTTCCAACTGTTGAATCTAACAAGGATAAAAACATACAAAATATGCAAAGATGGCAGAAAATAAATGGATCAAAGGGTGAACACACACACACACACACACACGTTAGAGGGTATATGTATGTGTAAGTATGTATGTTTATGGTTTGGGGACTAAGTTGTGATAAAGAAAAGAAGACTGTCACAGACACATTTTGAAGGCAGAAATGAATTCCTCGTTAGGTGAAACTGGAGATGTATAAAAAGAGGAATAAAGGATACTTCCTAAGTTTACAACCAAAAAAGCCAAACTCACTGCCATCAAGTTGATTCCAACTCACAGCGACCCCCTTTGGGTTTCCAAGGCTATACATCTTTATGGAAGTAGATTGCCCAGTCTTTCTTCCTTCCTAAGTATAAACCAAAAACCAAACGAAACTCACTGCCATCGAATAAGATCCAACTCATAGCAATCCCTCCTTGGGTTTCCAAGGCAGTATCTCTATGGAAGTAGATTGCCCAATCTTCCTTCCAAGGAATGGCCGGTGAGTTTGAACTGCCAGCTATCTGGTTAGCAGTCAAATGTCAATAAATTGTATTGGTAGTGATACCATTTACTGAGCATTGAGATGGACCAGAAAAATTAGCAAGGGAGTACATTTAGGTAGAATATTAAGAGTTTTACTTTGTCTTATTAAATTGGAAATGCTTGAGGAATTCAAGTGTAGATATATAGTAGGCAGTTGTACAAAAGAATGTGGAGTTCAGAAGCAATGTCTGAATGGGAGATAAAAATCTGAGAGTCATTAGCATTTAGGTAATACTTAAAAGTATGGACCTAGAGAAGACAAGCCAGGTAAAGACAGCAAAGAAGAGAGGCCAGGATGGAAGCTAATGTGCTTCGATATTTACAAGGTGAGTTGATGTGGACAAGGAAAACCACAGGCTGTGAGCTAAAGATACTGAGTGTTTCATATAGAAGGAACATCAATTTCACCAAATGCTGCTGAGAGGCCCAGTAAGATAAGGACAAAGATATAACCACTGGACTTGACAATGGGGAATCTGATAAAGATCCCAACAAGCAGATTCAAAGGGGTGGTCCAAACCAAACCAAACCAAACCCACTGCTATCTAGTCATATTTGATTCATGGTGACCCCTCCTTGAGTTTCTGAGGCAGTATCACTAAGGAAGTAGATTGTCCAACCTTCCTTCTGAGGAGTGGCTGGTGGGTTTGAACCGCCAGCCTTCTGGTTAGCAGTCAGGGATACCAAAAACCAAAAAACCAAACTCACTGCCATCAAGTCGGATCCAACTCACAGTGACCCCTCTTTGGGTTTCTGAGGCAGTATCACTATGGAAGTAGAATGCCCAACCTTCCTTCCCAGGAGTGGCTGGTGGGTTTGAACCTCCAGCCTTCTGGTTAGCAGTCAAATGCTTTAAGCATTACACCACCAGAGCACCCTAAGAGTTAGCTGAAGAGTGCAGTGGAGGCAAGAAATTAGAAGCAGATAGACAAGAAAAGAACAACGGGACACAGCAAAAAAGGACCGAGAAAGCCATTGGAGGACTTAAATTTGTTTAAAGATGAGAGATATTGAAGAGAATGATATAAACCAAAAGGAGAAAAGTAACTGAAGATGGATGGGTTCTTAAAAAAGTAACAGAAAAAGGAGAGAGAAAAGGGAATCTAGCCTCTGAAAAGAGTAAGGGTACCATTTCCACTATCAAAAGATGGGAGATAATGATGGAGATAAACATGGATTCAATTTGCAGATTGGGAGTAAGATACTATTTTTTAAGGTTTCCTATTGTGTTTTGATTTGGTTAATTTATTTAATGAAATGGAAATAAGGAGGGCAAAATAGAGAAAGAAAGAAAGAAAGTAACAGGAATTCCAAGTGTTATTCAGACTTACCATCACAGGTACAAATTTTCTTAAGAATTTAACACCATGTTGTTTCATGTAGGAACCCACTTTTTCTGCCATTTCTTGATCAAAGCCACGAAGAAGGATTGAACGCACCATAACTGTGACATCTAAACCAATTCCAGCAAGAAATCCTGCACATTCCAGAGCCACATAAGATGCACCCACAACTAAAGTTTTGCCAGGGCAGTAAGGCAGAGAAAAAAGGTCATCACTGAAAAAAAAAAAAAAAATAATAATAAAGCATAAATATTGTTGTTGCCATTTTTATGTGCCCTTGAGTTGGACCCAACTCATAGCGACCCCTCCTTGGGTTTCCAAGGTGGTATCAGTACGGAAGTAGATTGCCCAATCTTAGCTCCGAGGAGTGGCTGGTAGGTTTGAACTACCAGCTTTCTGGTTAGCAGTCAAGTGCTTTAGGCACTATGCTACCAGAGCTCCCCTAAAGCATAAATAAGACAGTAAAAATAAAATGAGTTATTTAAGTTTCAATGTATAATGGTCTTTGGGTAGCTGAATTATAATTTGGGGCTTGAATGAAGAAACACTAAAAAGAAACATTTTAAAGTTTGTAATTAGGTCAATTGTGTAGAGAATTTGGAAGAGGAAGTACATTCAGATTTTTTTAAATCAAATTAGTCAAACAAAAAAATAGAAAATATTAGACTATAGTATATGCAGTACTTCAAACCTGTTGCCATTGAGTCAATTCTGACTAATAGTAGACCCTGCCTGAAGGACAGAGTAGAACTGCCTCCACAGGGTTTCCAAGGCTGTAATCTTTACAGAAGCAGACTGCCACATCTTCTTCCTTCAGAGTGGCTGGTGGGTTTGAACCATCAATCTTTCAGTTAATAGCTAAGTGCTTAACCACTGTTCACCAGGGCTCCTTCATATAACCCAGTAAGATGCAACAGTATTTGTTTGTTTTGGATGTATATACATATATGTATGTTCATCTGAACAACAATGGAATGAAAAATATATTTGTTAATGTAAGTTTCATCAAAAAAGCCTAAAAGTTACCTAAAAGGACATGATACATGAAATGTCTTCTTCATGAACATCTAGAGAAAATTCCTATTGAATCTCAAGATTAGGAATAGCCACGCTTCTCCTGATCAACTGATTCACTACTATCACACAGACACTAAACCCTGCAGTTCATTGTATTTACTTCTTTGCTTTGGAAGCTAAGAGCCAAATTCCCAAACTATTTCCAGCAATTACATAGGACTACACAGCACATACTTATATATAAATTTTATCACTGACTTTATTATTACCTAACTTTATTTTCCCTTTGCATTATTACTTTATTTATCTTCTTACACTGTATGTACTTTTATTTGTCATCAGTTCAAATCTTTTGTGGCATAAGTCTAAGAGTGAAAAAAAAAACTTTTATAGTTAAAATGGTATGGCAACTAATTAGTTGGTTACTTACCTAGTAATAATAATAATAAAAGATCACATGCAAGTAAAAACTATAATGAGATATCATTTACCATTTTACTCCCACTAGGATGACTTAGATTTGGGGGGGGGGGACAGAAAACAACAAATGTTGATGAGGATGTGGGGAACTGGAACCATTATTCATTGCCGGTGGGAATGCAAAATTATACAGCCATTGTGGATAACAGTAGTTCCTCACAAAACTAAAAACAGAAACACTGTATGACCCAGCAATTCTATTCCTTGGACTTGAAAGCAGAGACTCAAATAGAGATACCAAAGTTCACTGAGCACTATTCACAAGATTCACAAGAATTAAAAGGTAGAAACAAACTAAACACCCATCAACAGATGAGTGGAGAAACAAAGAGTGGTATACCCATACAATGGAACACTACTCAGCCAGTAGGATATATGAAATCTTGATATATGGTACACTATGGATAGAGCTTGAAGACGTTATACAGAGTGAAAGAAGTCAATCACAAAAAGGACAAATAATGTATTACCTCGCTTGTATAAAAAGATAAGAACAGGCAAATGTATAGAGACCAAAGTTTATTAGTGGTTACCAGGGGCAGAAGGGAGGAAGCAAGAAGGGGTTACTGCTTATGGAATAGTTTCAGTGTGTAGTGATTGAAAAATCACTTTGATTAAGGGTAGGATTGCATAGCTGATTGTGCTAAATTGTTAATAAGTTGTACACCTGTAAAAGTGGAATTGACAAAAGTTTTGTGATAGACGTATTTACAACAACAACAACAACAAAAGAGTATATGCTGAGGCTGCTTATGTACAACCAAAAACCTGGAATTTGGTTCCTTGGTTTGGAGGTTTAGAGTCATGGTTTCATCGGACATCCCAGTTCACTGGCCCGATAACCTCTTTAGTGCTTCTGTTCTACCTCTTAGTATGTTGCTTAGTGCGTGGGGTCTTAAAAGTCTGCAAGCAGACATCCAAGGCACAACAATTGCTCTCTATTCACCTGGAGCAACAGAGGAAGGAAGATGAATTTCAGTAAGAGGAGAAAATGGAATGTGTGGCTAATTGCCTCCATGAAAAACTGCCTCCTTTGCCATGAGACCAAAAGAACTGGGTGATGCTTGGCTACTATTACAGAACATTCTAAAGAATCTTTGATCAAAAGGAGGAAAATACAGAACACAATTTCAAATTCTTATGGATTCCAGACTTTCTGGCACCATGGCATCCCTATACGTGTCAGAGTAGTACTGTGTTTCATTGGATTTTCATTGATTTTCTGGAAGCAGATTTCCAGGGCTTTTGCTCAAGGTACCTCTGGGTAGACTCAAACTTCCAACCTTTCAGTTAGCTGCTGAGCTTTTTAACCATATGCACCACTCAAGGACTCTAATCTTACCTAGTAATACAGTATTCTTTATCTCCTTGGCTTCCTAAATACCGTGGCCTTTCACCTGTTGCTATCACAAATTTTGCAGCAGTATAGTAAGTTTCTTGTCCTTTTCTATTGGTTGCCTTGAAAAGAGAAAAGTAAACTTCACTTATTCAACAAACATGACAAAGTTATCAGACACCCTGAACAAAATAGTCATTACCCTCACAGAGCTTCCAATTCAACAGGAACAAAAGACATGTAGTAAACAATGCAATGTGCTAAACATTAATACAGAAGATAGAAGTCTTAATAAATATTAAACACAGGACTATATTAAGGATAGGGAACTAGGAAGCCAGTAAAGGGACAGCTTTCAAGAAGGTAATATGTCAATTGGACATGAAAAAAGTCAAATGATTTCAGAGAGGAAGTAAGAACCTAGAGGAGACAGCAGCAGATACAGATACAGATATAGAGACAGAGACAGAGATTCCAAACTAAACCAGTAGCCAGCAAGTCAGTTCTGACTCCTGGAGACCTCACATCTGTCAGAGGAGAACCATGCTCCCTAGAGTTTTCAATAGCTGATTTCAGGGGGAAGAATATTGCCAGGCCTCTTTCTTCCATGGTAGTCTGGGTAGAGTCAAACTGCTAACCTTTTGGTCAGCAGCTGAGCACATATATGTACATATGTATCTCCATGTATACATACATATATATACATACCTCCCCTCCAAAAAAACCCCTATTACTGTCAAGTCGATTCTGACACATAGAGCTCCTATAAGACAGGGAAGAACTGTCCCATAGGGTTTCCAAGGCTGTAAATCTTTACTGAAAAGAAACTGCCTCATCCTTCTCCCAAGGAGCAACTGGTGGGTTCAAACTGTTGACCTTTCAGTTAGCAGCCAAGCACTTAACCACTGTGCCACCAGGGCTCCATATATACATACAAAGGCCTAAAAGTAGCTGACATTCTGGGAAACAGCAAGTGGTCAGAACTAACTGGAAAGTATGCTTTGTGTCAAAGGGGAAGTGAAGATTTCAGCCAAGTATAAAGGACTTTGTATACCATCTTAAAAATTTAGGCCATGGGGAACCAACAAAAGTTACCCATTGTTTGTCTATTCTTAATTATGTAAGTAATTGATAAATATATTTTCATCTTAAAAAACTCAAGTACAGTGAAAGTTTTTAAATCCAAGGGTGGTAATACGATCAGTGGAACAGAGGAAAAGCAGACTGGGACAAGGAACTGCTTAGGAAGGTTCTGAAACAGAGCAAGGAAGTTGCAGTAGCTATGGGTGCAAAGAGGGAAGTTTCTGAGTTAAATCAAGTGAGGAAGTAAGAAAAGGCAGGTTTGATTGGGGAGATAAGCTTATTCAACCAAGTGTGTTAGTCATATTACAATCTGAGAAATAAAATTAATTAACTTACATTATTAGTATGTTTCATGTGAATAATATACTTCAAATTGATCCATGAAATGGTTTTAAAGGTGATAGTTTTAAAGGGATTGTCTCCTATCTTTCTAAATTATAGACAGCAAATACCTACAAAATTATTTATAATCTTATCAAGATCATCTTATACTATGCAAATTACAAAAAACATACTAGATGCTAAGGATAATATTCAGTTATGCTCCATAATGCCAATTTCAAATGTTAATTTCATCAAAAGGGTCTCATTTTCCTATGTACAAACCAAACCAAACCCACTGCCATTGAGTTGATTCCGACTCATAGCAACTGGGTTTCGAAGACTGTAAATCTTTATAGAGGTTGATTGCCTCAGATTCCTCCCATGGAGCTGTTGGTGGGTTTGAACTGCCAATCTTGGTGTTAGCAGCCAAATGCCTTATCCACCATGCCACCAGAGCTCCATATTGTCCTATATATTGGCCTTATAATACATAAACCCAAAAAACCAAACCCACTGCCATCAAGTCGATTCCTACTAATACCTACAGGATAGAGTAGAACTGCCCTATAGCGTATCCAAGGCTGTGAATCTTCATGAAGGCAGATTGCCACATCTTTTTCCCACAGAGCCGCTGGAAGGTTCAAATTGCCAAGCTTTCTGTTAGCAGCTGAGTGCTTTAACCACTGTGCTACCAGGGCTCATTTATAATATATAAACATTACAAATACAAATATATAAAATACCCTACTTCTGATAGTATTTGTATCAATGCCTTTATAAATAATACATACTGGCATTTTAGTTAAGACATCTTAAAAAAGGATTTCGTTGCTAAAATTTTGATGTTTTCAGCCTTTTGAACTTTAAAATTTTTAGTCTAAACATTTTCTCTTTTAAGATGGCAATGAAATCAAAGGCAAATAATAACTGTAAATAAATTATTTTTAAAATGTAATTTCTTCAATTTAGTCAAACATTTGAGATCAACAAACAATGGGGGCAAATGCACATGTGCTCATTAGTCATAGTCCTTAACATGCACCAAAGAATTTCAATTAAAGGTAGGTACAAGCGATAGTAAGGAAAGGTAATGAAAAAGACAAAAAAAAAATTCAAACAATACCTTTATTTTATGATGTTCAACAAATTCTCCGTAGGAATTGACATAGGTCACAGCATTTTCCCTCAACGACAACCTGTAACCCCAATTTAAAGAGCCTATGTAGTTTTGAATTGCTTCTATCATGGTCTCCCAGTTGTGCTTAACTGAAAATAAACAACCAGGTTGAAATTGTAAAGTGAATTTTATTTTTAATGGCAAATTATATATAACCACACATGAACCACACTATATATTGCTTAAGAATCAAAAAGTGGACAGATGATAATTAGCAACTTACATTTTTTTATGCTAGTTACTATTTATACCTCTTCCTATTTTATATTATAAAGCATGTACAAAAGGCAAAGTTCTCCAAAGAAAACTGGGAAAAAAGTCCATGGAGGAGAGAATGGAGGAATCTGACCCTCATACAGTAATATCCACCCTGATGTAATGCGGGAAGAGCACTTGTGAAGCAGATGTTCTAACTGGGAAAAAGGTCTCAAGTCAGTGAGTATTATAAACTTGCCTAACTAGATCCTGAATCCCACTCCCATTTAGTTGACCTAGCAGTGGTGGAGGAGCTCACATACACTTTGTCTCATTACACTGACTGCAATTTCCCACAATGCCAACAGCTCCCCTCACTTCCTCTCCATAGTTACCTCTTATCTGTGTCCTTCCCTCCCATACACTCCTGCCCCCTAGGCTGTCTCTCTATGCATACACAGCCCTTCTATTCTCCCATAATTGATCTCTCCAAGGAGTGTATCTACCTAAAGTGGTTACTTTTTTTGAGCAGTGGTTTTAAGGAGCTCTGGTGGTATAATGCCTAAGGCATTTGACTGCTAATCAGAAGGCTGCTGGTTCAAATCTACCAGCCACTCTGCAGAAGGAAGACTGGGCAATCTATTTCTGTAAAGATTTACTACCTTGGAAACCTAAAGCGGGTCCCTATGAGTTGGAATCAGTTTGATGGCAGTGACTTTAGTTGGGTAGTAGTGGTTTCATGAAAGCAAATAATGCTCACTGTTGCCAAACCATTTCATTTTGAAATTGGGGTAGGATAAGAATGAATTGGGATTACTCACAATCCCTGTAGCTTCTAGACAGAATTTATTTCATAGAGCTCACCTGACCTCCTAATGCTGATCAGGCACAGAGGCCAGCACAGAAGGGAGGATCAAATATCTCCAACTTTGGGCTCACAATGTAACTGCATGAAATCTTTAAAGAGAAACCCAGCAAACTGAGGGAAGACTGGAGATTCTCCATCTGCTCTTCTCAAGAAAGGCCCCACTGCTCATCAGGGGGTGGAAATGTTACAGTACAGGAAAGGAAAGAACTGGAAATGATGTCACAGTGCAGAGAGAGGCTGAGCCCAAGTAAACTTTCATAGCATGGGCATCCCATCACCATGTTTATGACACCAGTGTTCAACAGACTTCAAGGTTCTTCAATTTGAAATGGTCATTGTTACCGCTGTGACTCTAGGAAGGTTACAACTTCAGTAACTATCCCAGCAATAATAACCTTCACTGCACTGGCACACAGCCTCATATCCTAAGACACATTTTCCCCTTGGCCCCAAAAAGTTTTTCTTCCAATGCTTAAAAACTCATTCATCCCAATGACCTTGTTAGTTAAGTTCATAAGTCACATGCCCCTTTGTTTCTTGTTCTTGTTGTAAAAGATACTCTGCATCAGAGGTCCCGATCCAAACATGGGTACACATCAGTATCACCTGGGAATCATGCTGAAAAATTCAAATGTGTAGGGTCCCTGAAACACCCACAGAATCAGAAGTGGGACCCCAGAATTTGTATGGTTAAAAAACTGCTCCAAGTTACTTTGATACAGCAAGGCTGCCATTTTGGAATCGTGTGCTATATTATTTTATTGATCTGTTTAGTTCTGCAACAGTATCACAATTTTAAAATATAATGGGAAAGTCACCCTCTATACTTTCTCAAATGTTCCTTAGCTGTTTTCACACTTATTTTTCAATATGAACTTTAGAATCATCTATCAAGTTCCAAAAATGGGGTGGGGGAAGAGATCTCACTGAGATTTTCACTGGACTCACATAAAATACACAAAGTAATTTTGAGAGAAACAATGTCTTCACAATATTGAGGACATCCTCACCAAAACCACAGTGTATTTCTTGTTAGGACTTTATAATCTTTCCTTGTATATTTCACACATTTCATTTATTTCTAAGTATACTATCATTTTTTGTTGCAATGTTATTATATTTTTAGCTTATGATTATCAAGAAAGGTGTTAATCAGGTTTGCATCCTTTCACCATACTTATTCAATCTGTATTCTGAGCAAATAATCCAAGAAGTTAGATATATGAAGAATGTAGCATCAGGACTGGAGGAAGACTCGTTAACAACCTGCGATGTGCAGGTGACACAACCTTGCTTGCTGAAAGTAAAGAAGACTTGAAGCACTTACTAATGAAGATCAAAGATTACAGTCTTCAGATCTCAACATAAAGTAAACAAAAATATTTACAACTGGACCTATACGCAACATCACAATAAACAGAAAAAAGATGGAAGTTGTCAAGGATTTCATTTTACTTAGATTCACAATCAACACCCAAGGAAGCAGCAGTCAAGAAATCAAATGACTACCAAAAACCAAACTCACTGCCGTCAAGTCAGATCCGACTCATAGCAACCCCTCCTTGGGATTCCGAGTGCAAAAACGGCAAGGAGGCCACATGTTCTGACCTTCTCTAATCCCACAGGAGGAAGACAGGATTACCAGCAGTAACCCAAGGCCTATTCCTGCCAGGCCAGACATGCTGCCTCCCTCCAG